TTTTATTCGTGAGAAACTGTCTCAAGGTGAAGTTAATCTTGTTAAAATTCACACTGATAGGAATCCCTCTGATATGGGAACAAAAATTCTACCTGCAGGTAAATTTAAATTGTACTTATCTTTATTACATATTGACACTGGTTAATTTTTTCTTGCAGGTAGTGGGCGATGATGATGAACAGTTCTTCCATGTGCAAATTCGCAACCAAGAGAGAGTGTTAAGAGAACCAAGGTGAAGAATGTGAGAATATGGTTCTCTTAACTCCATTTATTCAGATTTTTGTGGACTATTGGATGAAGATCGACGGCCGGGATTTAATCTTGGGGAAGATGTTTTTGACTTGATGGTATTGATGTTGACACAATAAGGGCTTCCCACGTTTTTTGGCAGAGGCATGGGTCTTTCCTTTTCTTCCCTTCTTAAGTCGACTCCCTCTCATTTCTCTATGGTCTCTTGGTTTTCAGTTGAAGGTGGTGGGTTCTTTGCCGGTTTTTTCTCTCTCTCTCTCTCTTGGAAGGTGATTTGCAAGTCATGGAGGGCTGTTCCTGAGCCTAAATCTGCCATAAGGGAAGGAAGACAAACTGCAGGAAATTTCAGCCAAAGATAGGTTGTGTCTTTCCAACCCTTTTTCATTGTTTTGCCTTAGAATTTCTTCTATTGTTTGATGTTTTGGTTGATTGAACTCCTAGGATCCCCAACATATCTCCAACCACTTGTTCTATACTTTTTTATTTGGAACAATCTAGAGTTCAATGCATTTTCATTCGTCTCTTAACATTTTACAATGCTCCTTCAAAATTCTTCCATAAAACACTCTTTACCACTAAAGCAATGAAAATTGGAATTGTTATATGTGCATTCAAAACAAATAAATTATTTTTATGAAATAATGAGTTTAAATTGGGTGTTGTTTTCATTTTAAAATTTTTGTTCTCTAATAAATTTTAGTAATATATATTATGAAGTGTATTATATTTTAGAATACTTAAAGATTCAAATGTACTCGAGGCAGCGTAAAGAGAATTGAGAAAAATATAGAATATGGAAAAAAAATTAACACCTGAACACTATTAAAAAGAGTAATGTTATTCATAGTCATTTACTGCAATAGTCGTCTTACATGACATCCTACATAGCGGTTTGTAATTTGATATATAAATATGATAGTTTTTTCTTATCTTATATATCAAATCACTAACTGCCACATGTATGCCACGTAAAACGACTACAAATAGTATTATTTCTATTAGGAAATATAGAAATGAAATTTGTTTCCTACTTTCTATAAGAAAACAACCTTGTTTTTAATCTTGAGATGTTATTACCGGTCAAGAAGATGTAAAATTTAATGAATTAGCTACTTTATTTGTTTGATTACAAAAATTAGCTGGATTTTCTCAATTTCTTTGATTAGTTAATTGAATGTTGTAATAATAAAGTGTTTCTCGATAACTAAAGATGAGAGTAGGGGAGAGATAAGAGAAAGGGAGACTGAATTGCCTAAAAAATAGAAATTTAGCCCTCTAAAAAAGGTTTTCCTTGGTTTGAGGAAAATAGGATCACGTAACCAACTTTGAAAAATATTTATCATGGCAAAAAACTTTCAATCAAACATTCCAAGGGCGCATTTGATTATGAACATTAAATTTGTATAAAAAGAAAATAAAGTTTAAAAATTTAACTGCCTAGAATTTATTTGTAGGAAAATTATTAATTAAATGTGATCAATTGATTTAGTTTTCAACCTAGAAAAATATTGTGCTTATCCATTTTTTAGTGGTGGATAGATGAGAAAGAATTGATAGATAAGAGAGAGTAGATTTCCTGTAAAATAAAATCCTAATTCCCCTAAAAAAAAATATTTTTCTGAATTTTGAAAATAATATAGTCAAGTGGCCTAAAGTAAGAGAATATTTTTCATGGAAAAAATGTCAATCAACCAGCAAAAAAGTAGGAATTTGGATGGAAAATATACTTTTTTATGGAAATATATTGACAATCAAACGCACCCTAAAAATAAGATTATGGGTGGGGAAATGATATTTTATATGAAAAATAAAACCAATTAAACACACCCTAGGTTTTCAAGAATATGGAAAAAAGGGAAAAATAAAAAATAAGAAGTTGAAAGTTCTTAACTATAGATTTTCATTGGTATTTCTTTCGAAAAATATTTCCCCTCTACTGTAAAAGAGTCTATACTATTTTATTATTCATTGTTGTCCACTCGTGTTCGCACTTGACCAATTTGAAGTTTTGTTCTATTTTGATGCTTAACCAGTTTGGATTGGAAGAAAAGCAACATGACATATGTATTAGCTTTCAATTTTTTCCAATTGTGGGCTCACATTAATGAGTGTTGTCGATAATTGTGAAATTTTATTGTATATTTAAATTTTTGTAATTGAGACTTTTGTGGTGGTAGTATAATAACAGTTGTGAGTATTGTTCATTAAATGACAGGTGGGTTGCACTATTTAGAGGCCCAATTTATTTTCTCTCTATATACACAAAATGTATCAATCTATCTATATACTATTTCTATCTTTTGGTATATTTCTTACAGCAACTGCAAGAAGACATCCAATGCAAATTTTGGAGAAATTCATAAATGTCGCTTCAGCAAATATGAACACACAAAAGATGTCTCAAGGTAATTTCTACCATTAAATATAAATTCAAATCTATACTGACATTATTTCTTCATTAACACAATACATAGTACATAATTGGGGGCGGGGGAACCCTACTTATAGGGCAAATTCTTTTTGTACACCTTGAAAGCAAATCTGGATTGTTAGATTCAACCATCATAGGAGATGTAGTAGAGGAATTACTGGAAACTAATACCAATACCATGATGGACTATCTTCAAAGGGTAAAACATTAGTTCTAACATCCTCCAATAATGCTTTCTTTAAACACTATGATACAACATTGAAACATGAACTTTATCTACCGTGGGAACCAGGTGCGGATTTGGGGAGGCAGGGCAGGTCTGTAGTCCCCCCCCCCCTCAGGGCCAACAAATTTTTTTAAAGGTTTTTTTTTTAATTTTTTTTTGGGTAAAAAATCAATTTTTTATGTGTAAATTTTTTTTCCACGTAGCAGCCCGATTTGAAATTTTATAGTCCGATCTTGAATCCAATTCTGAATCCGTCCCTGGTGGGAACCAAATATAGAACTCAACAACGTCATGAAAAGTAGAAGTGATAGAGAATTACTCTTTAACCTAAAGGTGACAAAACAGTGTCAGAACCCACCTGAGTATCGCTTTGAAATCATATTCGTATTCAACTCCACAAGAGTCACAAATAGCAATGCTTCAACTACAATGACTAAAATAAATCCTTCAACTGTCACAAGTGATTTAAACAACCAAACTGAAACTAACGAAAGTACAAACAACAAAGATGCAAGAAGGCAAAAGAATATGTACAGCCAAGCTAAAGAAGTTTTCACAAACACTAAAGAGATCACTACGCAAAATGCAAAAAAAAGTCTCTCTTACAACCATCGAATGTAACTATTGAAGCAGACTCAAAACCCGAAAAGAAGACTCACACAGGCTACAAAACTGACTACTAAACCAATGTCCTCACCTTTAAAGAAAAACATGAGTGAAAACCATGTACATTATTTTTGTAACTATAGGCAGTCATGCAATGTATTTCTTTTAGATCTCTGAAAAAAGTAACATGATCTACCCATGTACAGGAACTTAATGATAAGTCTTCAGTTGAAAGTCTACCGTATAGCTATAAATTTCTACTTTTTGACATGAAGAGGTTATTGTAAATGTTTTAATTCCCTTTTTATCCTTCCAGACACAAACACTGTGAACTATGACTGAATCATACTTATATAATTACTACCAATGGCATATAAATCTTTGATTCATCTTTAAAAATAGACTCAAGTGGCATACTTCATCCTAAACGCCATAATTATGTTAACAGTATTATCATCTATTAAACACATGTTTTAAATCATTAGTATATTGAACAATTCCATTCATAACTTAATGTCATAAATAACTTACATCATTTTATTACCTTTATAATTAATTGGTCTCTTCTTCAATTGCTTAAGTTATATCAACATTAAAAACGCTAACATTGTGTTCAAAATAATCCAAATCGTGCATTGCACGGGTGGCAAACTAGTATTTAGTTAAAAAATAAATAAATAAATCATGAAATGATTTATTTATTTTTTAATTTTATTGGGCCTTGACAACCACCTGATTCTAGTCGTTGAATTTATGGATTTATGGATGGGGTGAACTTTGGATGTTTCAATCCGGTATCTTGAGAATTGGATCAAATTGATTCAAATTGAAAACCGTAAAAATGGAACTGTTGGTTCTATAGGTGGAAAAATGGACCTCGAGCAATTGGTTGTGTTATGGTCCGATTCCTATATCCCCATGGAACTATTGGTTTTGATTTGAATTTTTTTATGCTTCAAAAATAATTTTTAAAGTGTAAAAGTTGTGTAATATTTTTTTTTATTTCACTTTCACGCTTCATATTTTAAACAATAAAAATGTCAATTATTCTAAATATAAACGAATTTATATAAACTACGAGTTCGAAATCTTTCAAACAAAGTCAAAATTTGATTTTGTAGTTAAAATTGAGAACTTGACCAGAATAAACTGACCTCAATGAGAATCATACTAAACAAGAAGCATTACTCCTCTTTTCATTCCAAATTCAAGAATATGATTGATACAACTGATTGGTCTGTATGCCTCCAATCAGAATATAACTGGCTAGTTCAGTCTAGTTCTGGCTCGGGTCGGGTGATTTCAAATAAAAATGTCTAGAACTAGTTATGGATAGAAAGGACTGTTTCCACAACTAAATGTTTCATATGGGAATGTAAGTGCCAATACCAAGATTAAAGCCATAGAAAGTAGAAACCAAGGACAGCTCAAACATTAGGGACCATATGTGCAAATAAGCCTTAAATTTTTAACCTTCTAAAACCCTAACCCCTACACACAACACAAGCAAGCGAAAAACGGTCTTTATCTCTCTATCTAGAAGAAAAAAGAAAAGAAAAGAAGGTTAAAAATGGCGGATGCAATGATATCAGTGGAAAAAATCAAAGCTTTTTATCATTCGCAGATCCATGATCCAGATAAATGGGATCTCAACAAGGTGATTTTTATTCTTCCCCTTTTCTGTTTACGCTATCGTCTGATTCTATTTATCAAAAAGAAAATTTGTCGATTTGTTATTTTATTTACTATTTATCTAGAAATTGAATACGACTTTTTCAATTCAATTAAGGTTTCAGACGTTCAATTATTGCTTACACTATTTGCTTTGGTCCCAAACTCAGGCCTGTTTCACGGATTTTTTTTTTTTTTTGCTCTGGTAATTATTCATTAAATTATTGAAGCTTTAACTTTTTCTATTATGATAATAAATAATTAAGTGCGTTGAATGGGCAATTTGGATTAAATCATGTTGAGAATTGGATGAATTCGTCCACAAACCTGATTTCCGCTTTCTTCCTTGAAGGTATTAATTGAGTTTGATATGCTCTGTTCTAGGGCTGAACATGGTCCGGTTCGGTTCGATTCTCGCCCTAGAACATGGTCCGGTTCGGTCCGACCCGAAATTTTCGGGTATTTAGTAAATGGAACCATCGGGTCCAAATTTAATTATAGAACCATTCGAGTTCAGTTCCATTCGATTCCGTATTGTAATTAAATTTTTTAATATATACAAAGTTTTATTAATTTAATTAATGATATGTTCAATATTAGCTCTTACAAAATAACGTAGTCCAATCTTATTTGTCTTTTATGTCTATCTTTGCTAAATTCTTCATAAATTTAATTATTAAAATCACAGGAAAAGAAAGATAGCGAGCTCAAAATAATTAAGAGAGATGTTGTAGAGCTTTGATTCAATTTTGTTCAATAGAAACGATACTACATTAGAGGAACAGATTTGGATAAAATTGAGGTCAATTTGATTAAATTGATTTTGAACTGAAAATTAGAAATAGAAAAATCATATTTTGTGGTTTGAACTAAATTAACTAGTTAACAAATTTATTTAGAAAAAATAAAATAATTTTGCTTATTTAAATTAAATAAATTTAAAAAAATTAAGGAGATTCGATTCTTCGGGTCTTGGCCTAGAACCAGAACCGAACCGTACCCATCGATTCTTGATTCAAATACTCGTTCTAGTATTTAATTTGAGAAGAACCGTCAAGTTCGGTTCGGTCGGTTCGGTTCGAGAGTTTTGTCCAGTCCCACTCTGTTCCAGCAATTCGTGTCCGCCTCCTTTTTACTGTTTATTTTTAATGGGACATTGTAAAGAGTGTTGCATTAAGACTTGAAATGGCTTCTTTTGTGGGCATACATTCAAGAGAGAGAACTTCCAGTGTATAGTTTGGACAATGGAGCTTCCGTGTATTTCGATCATTATATGTCATCAACAAATGTTAGACTGTAAAATAATAAGATGAATTAGCATTTGAAGTGGAAGATGGAGAAAGGGGGGATCCCGGTAGTGTTCTGATGCTTGGCAGTTGGTGATGAATTCATGTCCTTTCTATTAGCATAGCTCTGCTCGATCGTCGGTGAAATTTCATAGATATTAGGTGTGGAGAGAGACGTTCTATAATGAAGAAATGATAGTAGCTCGTTGTTTTATAGGCTTTATCATGTTCAGTCCGAAGAGTTTAGGTAATACTTTCAAAGTGACTCTTGACAGGAGAATCCAGGCTATTCAGGAAGAATTGCAGCAATTCTCCAATCCTAATGAAGTAGTTCACCCGAATTCAGCCTGTAGTTGATGATTTTTAGGCTATTTCTGTTTTCGTTATTTTTCCTGTTTCTTATTCATCTCGGCAGTTTTAGTGCAACATGTCTTCTTCAATGGCAAATTTACCACACATTTAATTTCATTGCAAGTTACATATGGTTCTATTTTTCTGTAAACAATGTGTATTAGAATCCATATAGATGACATCGCTAGGTTTTGTGCTAGCTGTCTACCTTCCAGCCTGCACCCCCCTTCTTCGTTCAGGTTGGCACTGACTTGGGAAAAATAGCCAGAGTTATTTATTTTCCTGTAACATCTATTCTATATGATCGAGAATGCGTGTTGCCTTGTTAGCTCAAGAAAATCTCTCCTTTTTTAGCTGTCTAAAATATTTTCTTGCTTATTACGCTTTTCCCCTCGTTAACTCTGCTTTCTCCGCCCATTTTCTTTTGGTGCAGAAATTACTCCGTGCATTAGGTCTCTTTGCTGGCTCCATCGTCTTGATGCGCCAATATGGTGATCTAATGGCAATATAACTATGGATGATGATTGCGCTCCCAGAAGTCGAGTTTCCAGTTAATTTTGTTTCTGCACATGGTTTTCCCATATGAAACAATCCATCAACTGAAAGGCGATTAAATGAATTTTCTTTGTTTAGAATTAGAATCTTGATTATGATTCGTGTCATGTTGGTCCTTAAGTATTATGAATGCTAGCGAATTGCATAAATTGCATCAATGTTTCTTTTCAAGAGTTGCATCTATATTCTGTATTATTTGATCCTTTAATCGCACAAGAATTGTTGTGTAGTTCGTTGTGTGATGTGATATGGAACATAGAGCAGTGATATCGGCCTTCCTCTGAAGCCATGGCAATGGTTCTTAATTCTTATGCCAACGGATGAGTTCGGGAAGAAATAACCCACCCGCCCGAACCATTTGAATACACCGATGCCCATCAACTTTTGGTATACGAAGCCTTCAACTTTTTGCGAGGAAACAGAAATATTCTGAGTCTCGTTTTGATATGAAGAATGCAAGCATTCTTCATATCAAAACGAGACTCAGAATATTTCTGTTTCCTCGCAAAAAGTTGAAGGCTTCGTATACCAAAAGTTGATGGGCATCGGTGTATTCAAATGGTTCGGGCGGGTGGGTTATTTCTTCCCGAACTCATCCGTTGGCATAAGAATTAAGAACCATTGCCATGGCTTCAGAGGAAGGCCGATATCACTGCTCTATGTTCCATATCACATCACACAACGAACTACACAACAATTCTTGTGCGATTAAAGGATCAAATAATACAGAATATAGATGCAACTCTTGAAAAGAAACATTGATGCAATTTATGCAATTCGCTAGCATTCATACTACTTAAGGACCAACATGACACGAATCATAATCAAGATTCTAATTCTAAACTAAGAAAATTCATTTAATCGCCTTTCAGTTGATGGATTGTTTCATATGGGAAAACCATGTGCAGAAACAAAATTAACTGGAAACTCGACTTCTGGGAGCGCAATCATCATCCATAGTTATATTGCCATTAGATCATCTCTCTCTCTATCTCTTGATTTTCCGTATTGATGTTTTCATTTTTTATAAACTGTGCTGCGAGGCGAGGAGAAAACTGCTGATTCCGGCCCAGGTTTGTGGAACTTGGAACCTGTGGTCGGATCATCGCCAGACTCTTCACTTACTCTGTATGGTACGCAATTTCAATTTCCTGCCATTTTTATTTCGTTATTTGTGATGCTAATTTTCGTTTTGTTGGGTGAATTCTTTTATTTTCATTTACTAAGAGAAATATTTAATTTTTTCTATTGTGATAATTATTGGGTGCAATTGCATACATGAAGTAGAAACTCAGATGGATTCTTGTTATTGATTCTGACTCAACTATAAAAATTGAATATTTGTGCCTCATGAACCAATTCATTGTAATGTTACTCGTCTCAAGGTTTAAAATATTAGAGAACGATGCATAAACGAGCCCACAGGCCCTTTTGCATGTGGGCATAAAAAGCTTGATACGTCCACAATATTTTTACAAATGGGTGGAAACTAGACTCGAACTTGCTAAATTTGCTTTCCACTTCATTTGAGTGGGAATACACTTATTTACTTATATTTAGTCTTCTACAATAGCCTATAAAAGAGCCTCTGAAACTACATTATTGGATTGTTATGGGTATCTTGAAATATATAATTAGGCATAAGAAGGCAATGCCATAATTTAAAATGCCTAAATTTTTGTTTGTAACTTATTACTAGCATATTTTTAATTTTTGTATATTTCTATTACTTCGGATTATTTCATCAATTTGTCTTGAGTCTTACTCTTTGCCTCACAAACGGAAAACACCTATACACCATATGAGCCTTTTCAGAAACATCAGTTAGATGTGGAACTTTTTAACAACTCATATCCTCGTTTTAGCTCGACCACAATCCCAAATCACATTGTCATACGAGTGTTGAGATTTCAAAGATGGCTCCCAACATGTTGAAATACTTACTGTTGCTTGGATAGTAGAAAGAAACAACGTGCAAGACATTAATGAATAGTCGTAGAAGAGACTAATATCTTATTCAGAACATTGGACAGTCATACATGATTCCTTTTGTACTTAAACTGATTTTCTTGCACATAAAAAAGCAAAACGTTGGGATTAAATTTTTCTATGAAATATCTGTTCTTGACATCTTTTCAGTACTTATTTTTAGCTACTAATATCTCTTCTCATGTTTGTTGGTAATTTTTACCTACTGGAATTAGAAACTACAGGATCTAATTAATGCATTTATATGCTCAATCACGAAGAATGTATTTAATATGTTGATCTGTGATGACTTGTGTAGTTGCATACCCTTCGAGAACCTTATTAGCATCTTATTTTTTGTTAAAATTCCATGATCAACATTTACAATGTTGCAACTTTCTTACACTGGCAAAGTTATCTTTGGCAGTATATTTTGCTGAATGATTTAAATCCAGATATAGGCGCAGAGCAATGTACTGAAATATTTATATGCACAATGTGTTCAATTCTACAAACTTTAAGAATTTGTTTTGTTTTTTTAATTCTCTTCAAATATCATTTGCATCTATCTGTATTACACGGACAGTTTAACTAGGGTAGCGTGTTCTTACCGGACATGTCGGTTCCCGACACTCCTCAAACACTCTACCATGGTCTTTTTTCTTTCTTTATAAGAAATATTTTATATTTTAACTCAAAGTTAATATTAAATAATAAATATGTACTCTTATTTAAAAATTTCAACAAGAAAAATTAATAACAAGTATAAAACTAAATTTATACTTTATAAACGAATTTAAAAAAAAAAAATTTAATCAACATATCGGCGACATGTCGTGCCAGTATTATTTTCAAAAAATCGCTTGTCAATATGTGTCGGTGCATCATTTGCATCTATTTTTAGGTTAATGAATTCTTAATATAAATCATTAGATCAGATTATTAACTGATATTCTATGTCCTAACTCCTCAACTGAGCTTGGATTGATATGGGAGCTTCATATATTGAATTAGATAAACCAGCTTCTCCAATGGAATCTGAGGAAGGGACCGCAAAAGATTTGATGACAAATTCTTCCCTTTCCATTGAAAAAGTTCATCATGATACATCAAACAATCCATCTTCCTCTATCTCTTCCTCACCAGATTCCACATTAGACGATCACATTTGCGATCTCAATAAAAATAGTGATGAGACAATTTCTGGAAATTTTGTTTCCAAATATGAACTATCTGATAACGGATCATCGTGTGCTACATCGCTAGCGGCATTTACAAGTCAAATGCCTCCAGCCAATGTATCAGCAACACAATCACCCTCTCCACAAGTGATGGAGCGTCCAGCGGCTCTGCCTGGCGCATCTTCGTATAGAATCCCATCTTCCGTGTTTGATAGAAGTAAGTCGTCAACCCCAATGGAGTGGAGTGTATGTTCGAATGAATCGTTGTTCAGCATTCACACAGGAAATATGAGTTTTAGAAATGATCCCTTCTTTTTGCGATCGGGTGAATTGGGTCCACCAGGAGAAGTATCTACATCCGGTCAGATGTTTAATTACTCAACTGTCCAGGCTTCAGGTACTGAACCCAAAAGTCATGAGTTTGGAGTAGTGGAGGCAAGCATTAAGGAAGTAATTCGAGAAAGTGAAGATCAAAAGAACGAAAGCTGGATGCCTGAGGAAATTATGTCTCGTCGTTCTCGAGAGAGTAGAACAAGTGCCAAATCTTTTGCATTTCCAATGTAAGTTTGCCTTCCATCTTTGAAATGTATCCCATCATTCAGCTTAATATAGTAGAAGTTCTTTATATATTTGAGGGTTCTATTAGTAAAGTATAAGCTTTATCTGTTTTCTCGCAAACCATTTTTCTTTGCACTCAGTATCAATATCGTGGCATCATCAAGAACAGCTGAATCATTTTAATACCTTAAGATTGATAGGAGACATAGACCATTGTGCTTCAGAGAGGACGGCTAGTTCAGTTAAGGTAGCTCCGGAGCAGCAGGAATCTCAAGCACAGCAAACGCAGAAGCAAGAGCCCGAGTCAAGCGCACAGCCCAAGCCAAAAACCTCCTCAGAAACTGAAAAACCAGCTCCTTCCAAATGGTTTTCTTGGTTTAAATGCTGCTCCTTCTGTAAGTGAAAATGAGTTTTGCCAAAATTATTGCCTTAAGCGAGCAAAACTCAGAGGATCCATCGACATGAAACTGGAATACAGTGGAAGGATAAGCCTACCCAAAATTTACCGGGTATGCATCTCGGTTTGTTGTTGTGAATGTCATTTGTATGATTGATGGTCGGCTCTAGTAGATTCGATAAAAGATGAATGCATGTCTTCTAAATTCTCCTATTTGTCATGATATAGATGTTTACAAGCACTTTCTCTGCACATCGGCTGGATGAAATCGACGAGCTTTCTAGCAGATGAAACGGAAAATATTGTTGTAGAGCAATGACCATGTTATGTGGCTTGGAATATAGAAATATGGTAGGAATATTAGAAGTTAGTTAATGTGAATTGAATATTAAGCGTGACTTATGCATATGTACAATTACAGGTTCAATACATCAGTCTTATAGTATTTATTGATTCAAGGATTGATCAGAATATCTGATTTTTTATATTGAATTTTGCAAGAATTGATTAGGAAAAATTTTCAATTAGTATGAATGTACTTTTATATCATGCTTGATACTTCAGAATCCAAGTTTAATTTGTCACAATCAGTTCATTAAACTTCAATTTACTTTTAATGTTAGTCATTCTGGTAGCCCAGCTGCTGAACTTATCACCCTTCTATTTGTTTTTGTTTTTTTGTTTTTTCAATTGTAAGTTTTTATTTTAGATGCGGTTCAATCCATTTTCTAGTGAAGATAAGAAATAAAAAATAAATGGATTGTGTTGTGAAATAGTTAATCAAGAAATCATTACCTCTTGCTAACTTGTGAGCTAAATGGAGTTGAAGAAATCTTTCCTGCAGCTGAGGCGGGATGATTAAACAGAACTCCATTTGTTCAGTGCTGCTATTTGATTGTACAGATTGTTTATTTTGAGGAACTTCAATTGTTGCTTTTATGGATTTTGCAATAGCATGATTTGTCCAGCTGCTCTGTTTGTCACTGGACCTCAGGATTATACTTAGCTTAAGTGATGTGCTGCCCGTGTATTGGCTTTTTCTCTATTGTTGGTATCTGTATTTTGATTACTAAGTTTAACTTCTAGTTGAGTAAACCTCCTCTTATCTCTTTATTTTTAAGTGAGCACATGGAAAATAGTTACAGTAATCGGTGGCATTATTTGAGATATAGGATTCTTTTATGTAATCTGGACATAATTGAAGTTTAGTCTTTAGCATTTTCCCTTGTTGCTCACCCCCTTTTTAATGCCATCTTTAAAAGTCTTTTAGCTATTATCTATAAGTTGCAAATCTACGTATGTATGTTTTGGTTATTTGCTAAATCTGTAACGTTCTGTATATGTTTCCTTTATCTCCTGAGGTGCTTGATGGTAACATTTCAAATGTCCGACGCCTCCTTTGATAGTTCTGGGTTCGTTACATTGTCGCCTTGCATGCCATTTAGTATTTAATTGGCTCAAATGGTTTGGTTATCTTTAAGTTGAGCTATTTGTGAACTGGTATTGAAAGTTGAACTTTCCGAAGACAGAGAAGACTTGCTGCAAATCGAAGGAATGCAGAAAGGATATCTTGCATAAGGTCATCTAATACAAGAAGGGAAAAGACAGCTTAGCAGTTAGCTGCTCAGGGGAACCATCGTTATGACAGCAAACAATCAGGTTATGGTGGACAGACCAAGCATGTCTTCTACAAGAAGGTAGAAACTATTTACATGTCTTTTTTATGCTGGAAAAAGTTAGCAAGGTGTAAAAATTACTATCCACCATGCAGTGTTTAGATAATTGGATAGTTTAAAGAATAAAACTGACAAAGAAAAGTTTATGATTTTCCATATTGATTCTCAATCCTTCTAGAGCTACTAGTACCTATCTGAAGTGCTAAATTCATTGTATAAATTTAGCTTTCTTATTCTTGTCACGACAAAGAAGATTGTGCTTAGGCTGCAATGACAGGGCTGTAAGGACGTTTCCCAGCACCCAATGAAGGTTGCTATTTAAATTTTACGTGATCATATATTTGTTTCATAATGAATATGCCTCCATTTATGAAATTTTGTCATTGGTTTGCGGAGATGCAAGCATTTTGAGATTGGTGGAGATAAGAATGGAAAAGGAACTTCTCTTTTCCAAGCACCGGTGGTGGAACTTGGAATATTTCTCTTTTGCTTTATATGGTTTCGATTTTTGATGGCTGAGATGTTTTACCAAGTAGTAGATGTAATTTTAGACACTTGGTATCATATTTGTGTTTCAATGATGGAGTTTTGATTTTACATGGGGCTTAAAAGTTCAGTTTCAGTGTATTTTAGCTCGATACAGACAGAATTATTGTTAGGCCTGAACAAATTGTACTTAAGAGGGTATATTTGGAGCCTATCAACTTTTGATACAACAATATGTTGTAATTTCAAATGCTTATCATCAATAATTAGGTTCAAGCCAACGTATACAAAGATTTCTTGTTATTCAAAATGATTGGTTATGAAATTTGTTGAGTGTATTAGCTAAACTTGTATGATTAATGATATTTAATAGTTGAGACTGATTGGAATATGGTCCATATGGATACTATTTGCGTTATTGTTGTCAAGTGTCTTTTGAACTATTACATCCCGAGATAAAAAAAAATTTTAAAAAAAGGGGTTTCAACATTACTGGAGCCTCTCTTCCCGGAAATCCTGTTCAGCTTCACTCGCCGTTCGCTGCCTCTACCTCTGAGCCCAAACACTCGCATCATCTCCACTTTACTGAAGAAAGTTTCAACGTCATCATTTCTTGGACGGTTAAAATGGGGTGAAACAATGGATTCAAATTTTTGCTTGCTTTTTTGTGGTGATGATGTAGCATGGATGGTTAACGCAATGGCTCTACGTTGTGTACGGTGGTGATTGTGGACTATTTGATATAGAACTAATTGTCGATGGATGTTTTGAGATTGTCAAATCTAGGTTCGGTGGTAGCGGCACGTAGCGGTGCTTAGCTGTCAAAAGATGTTGCTGGTGGCGTTGTAGTTGGCGGTGTTCCGACGGAAAGCTTTCATAGGTGGCCTTGACGTGCTTTGAATTGCTGATTTGTTTGAGATCGTTGTGGATGTTTAATTGAGGTGAAGGTGGTGGTTGTGAGGTGAAGGTGGTGCCAACAATGGTGGGTTGGGGTGGATGAGATGCAGAGTGATTGTGAACAATTAATTGTGATTTATGATCCATTAATTATGTGACATGTGACTTAATATGGGATATGCGACACATAAGTTATATGGTATGTGATTGTGATCAGTACGTAATCATGATCATAAATTATGTGTTTATTGTGATTATAACTTATTTGATTAAATATAGGTCACAAAATTTATTAGAGGTTACATGATCACCTAATTTTTTAAATATTTCATCAAAATTTGTTAAATTTGAAAGCGTATATTTAAAGTATAGTAATGTACTTTTTCCTTCCTAGATCGCACCTATTTGCTTTTTAGCATTTCTATTTTAAATTATAAACCCTCAAAAGCAGGCAACATGAAATACAATTAGATCGATACATTCCATCCTTCTTTAAGACTCACGTCCATAGCATCCTATTTTACTTGGTGATATTACAAAACAAGTCTTCTACTTGAAGTAGTTCTCCTGATGTAGACCCCATTTGGTACCCTTTTTTTTTAAAATGCATTTTTCTCTCTCTTCTTTTCAATCACATATTTTTTATTAAAATAATATTACATATAAATTAAAAAAATTTCCTTATGTTTCAACCGCACATTTCCCATCAATTTACCATTCAAAAATGCATTTTTACATAAAAATATCTCCCAAACCACCCCATAGTTTTATCCACAGCATGGGTTTCCACCACGATTTTTGTTTTAAAATAGTGGTCAATTGTAATAACGGCTTTTGGTATAATTCATCCTTAAAATTGAATTGTAAAAGGAGGATGCTTAAAGTAGTAAAACTTTTTACGGTTTGTATTAGAGTAGATATTTCATCTTGGAGGATCCTCATTGTAGACAGGGTAATATGGGAATAATGTTGACTCAAAAATATGAATCTCTCTAATCTAGGGTGGGAATGATCAAGTTCCAAAGAGAATCGAACCAAGAATTATTAGGTATCTTATAAATGGAATATTCGAGTCCAACTTCAATTATGAATCTGTTCAATATCATAATTAAATTTTTTGATATTCTTATAATTTCATTTTCCAAATATTTGAAGCAAAACAATAGTCCAATAAAGAATAAGTTTCATCTTAATACAAAACGACAAACATAACCCAAAATTTTTAAACACAAATAACAAGTCGTCTAATAAAGTTCACTATTTCCTTTTATCAATTAATTCATTTACCAATGTATACCACTGAGCCTGAGTTCAATTTTTTATACTGAAATAATTTGGTAAGTTCGATTATTAGAAAAAAAAAACACGAAATTAAAAAAATGATAGTTTCAATTTTTTGGTTCTAAGTGTAGAACCAAGAAGAAAATCAAATTTTTATTAACCAAATTAACTTACGAAAAAACGAACTGAACCATTAGGATCGATTTGGGACTTTGGCCCCATTTGGTAGTCATTTTTTTTAAAATGTATTTTTCTTTGTTTTTTCAGCCACACATTCTTTATTAAAATAATATTACATATAAACAAAAAAATTTTCCTTATTTTTCAACCACACATTTCACATCAATTTACTATTCTAAATATTCCCTTTATCTATCCTCAAAACTCATTTGGGCATTGACAATGGGCCTTAGGAGCCCGGTAAATGAGTTGTAAGCCCGCCCATTTTAATACAAAACCCTAATCGAGAACTGCAATTTGCAGAATTTCGCATCCACGCTCTTCGTCTCTGATCGGCAGCCATGGTAATTTTAACCCACTTAACTTTCTCTCATAGCTGTTTTTGTTGATTTCTAATCTACTGTTTATTCTAAATCTGTTTTTTTGTTTCTAGTTTATAGTGTATTTTGGTTCTCGAGTGCGGTTTGATTTTCTGTTTAAAAGTGGAGATTTGAACGTGGATGATTAAATTATGTTGTGAATCAGTGAAATTAAGAATTTGAGCGACAAATAGCTTTTTTATTATTCAAATTTTCGTATTCTGGAAATGTACGCAGTTTCTTTTCATTTACCTTTGTACTATTTTCTTTCATGGCTAGAGTTACTGCTACCAAATTGGACTAGAAGGTTGTAAGAAACATTTGTACAAAGTAAAATTAAGTATGAGGTTTGTATTCATTTTCAATATTATCTCTTATGAAAGAATGGCTTAATGGACTATGAGAACTTTTTCTTGCAATTAAGGATAGACATGTAAATGGAAAACCCCATGATCAAAGGCTCATAGCATTATTGCAGTTTTGTATGTTTTAGCTGATACTTGACTGTACACAGTGTTAGTTTGTTCTCTAGAACTTCTATTGTTGCTTTTGTGGGTTTGCCCAATCATCTTTGCATTTACAGTATATTCATTTGTCCAGCTAGTATGGCTTTCACCTTTGTGCTGTCCAGTCAATCATTAGACCTTAACAATCTTACTCGATCTTATCAGTTAAATTTGTTCATTTACATAAAATGTATGATGCCCGTCTACCAGCTTTTCTTCTGTCGTTGGTGGTCCTTATTTTTTAAGTGCAAGCTAATTTCGCATCTAGCTGACTAAACTTCCTATTCTTTTCATGTTTTTAATGGCCATGTGGAAAATTAAGTTTTTGAGATTGTGCAACTATTTTATCATCTATATGTGATTGATACCTAGTTCTTAGCATCATTAAATTTTTGATTGGCTACTTTGCTATCATTTTCCTTTACCGTTTCCATTTCCTTTAATTTTTAATTATAAACTGATGTTATGCCAAGTGTATTTTAACTATTTGCTGGACCCATAACTTGCTGTATGTAGTTTTCTTTCCTGTACTTTTGAAGGATTTTGATCATAACATTTCAATGCAGAATACATTTTGGATTTTAGAAAAGTTAATCTGTTTGTGAACTGATTTTTATAGGTGAATGTTCCGAAGACAAAGAAGACTTACTGCAAATCCAAGGAGTGCAGAAAGCACACCTTGCACAAGGTTACCCAGTACAAGAAGGGAAAAGATAGCTTAGCGGCTCAGGGTAAGCGCCGGTATGATCGCAAGCAATCAGGTTATGGTGGACAAACCAAGCCTGTCTTCCACAAGAAGGTAAAAACACATTAGAAAGAAAAATAAAAATAAAAAATTACCATCGGCAAATATAAACAGGGGCTAACTTGCAGTAGAAAAGGTTAAGATGAGTAGAAAGGATGGTAATAAAATTGATTCTCAATCTTTAGATGTACTAATTTTACCATTTTTACATCATTGTCTTTGAAACTAGGCGAAAACGACTAAGAAGATTGTGCTGAGGCTGCAATGCCAGGGCTGCAAGCACGTTTCTCAGCATCCAATCAAGGTCAGTTTTTCGATTTCACATGGTCATGTATTTTCATTCTGAAAATGTCTCTGCTCTGATACTAACAATTGCATATTGTCGTTGGCTTTGCAGAGGTGCAAGCATTTTGAGATTGGTGGAGATAAGAAGGGAAAAGGAACTTCTCTTTTCTAAGCATCACCCGGTTATGGAACTTGAAACATCTCTCTTTTACCTTTTTTGGACTTGATGTTTAATTTTTTGTTTATTAACTGAGATGTTATTACCAAGTAATACATTAAACTTTGGACATGTATTGTCATATTTATGGTTCAATGCTGGAATTTAGATTTTTCTCTTGTAATGGTAATGATGAGCTACTATTTGGTGTAGATTAAAATTAGATTTTGATAAAAGTTGATGAAATCATTGAAATGTGGGATTAAAATTAATTGTTGATTTTGACTTGAGATTTTTCAGTAGATATTTATTTACACCAAAGATGGATAAGTAGGATGTAGCTTATAGTGACCCCACTAAACTTTTGTGGTATCTTCAAATGATTAAAAGACTAGCCATTATATTGAAAGTTATCCGCACATGAGAGCTCAAGACCAGCCAGATCTAATCCATACGATGAAAGAAGCATGTATCTCTCTGAACTAAGTAGAGGTGGCAATAGCCTCAGTTTGTTGACCCGATACATGGGCCTACTTGAGCTCCCGTTTGGCCCCTATTTTTTGAAATGAAAACGGTTGGAAGAGTACTTTTTAAACAAATGAGTGGTCAAAAAAGAAGAAAAAGTTCTTGGTTTTCGTGTAATATTATTTTATAAAATATTGTGT